TCCAGTCACATCTGTCTGTCACAGAGGAAGCCTGGTGGCTGCCAACCCATTGTTTGGAAGAATCCAGGGAATGGCTCAGGTCAGAGGGGAAGAGGTCAGTGTCGCTGTGGGCTGGACGGGCTGGATGGACAGAGGGAGCCGCCCTCGCAGATGGGTTGGGGGGGTGTTTCCCAGGGCAGCTGTAGCAAATTATCTCCGAATGGGTGGCTTTAAAGCAACAGAAATTTATTCTCTCATAGTTCTGGCGGCCACAGGTCTGAAATCAAGGCGTCGGCAGGCGCGTCTCCTTAGGAAAACTCCCGGGGAGCCTTCCGGCGTCTTCCAGCTGCTGGGGGCTCCAGGTGTTCCTTGGCTTGTGGCGGCATCGCCCCGATCCCTGCCTCCGTCTTCACACGGCCTCTCCTCTGTGTCGTCTCCTCTTTTTATAAGAACCCTTGCTACTGGGTGTAGGGCCGAGCCAGTTAACCCAGGATTGATCTCATCTCGAGAGCCTTAACTTGGTCACACCTGCAAAGACCCTTTTCCCAATTAAGGTCAGCTTCACAGAGACTGGGCGTCAGGACTCGGGCCTGTTTGGGGGAGCGTGCCCCCAGTTCAACCCACGAGAGGTGGGGTCACACCCAGTTGTTTTCCGAAAGTGATGCTGATAAAATGATTCGTGGAGATCACTGAGAAATCCCCAATCAACATCAAGCATATTTCTTATTTAAAAGGAGAAAGTGTTGGATTGAATTCTGTGTGCCTAGCAATTATGTTTTCTTTTTTCCAGGAGTCTAGTTCACATCTTTAAATTCTTTTTCTTCTACATATTGGAAAATCTCTTCCAACAACTCATCTATCACTTGTACTGACTTTGAAATTTACTACATTCTNTTACCCCCCTTCCTCTTTGGTAATCACCATGCAATATAAACATAATTCTTGTTCTAAGGTAAATAATTTACTTTCTGACACTGTGTCTTTGTAAACAATGCATGCTATACACCCAACTACTATGTTTCTTACCAAAGCAAAGCAGTTAATTAGGAGTTATAAGTCAAACTACTATTTTACTCAAGTATATATCTAGATATGTATTGATTCTGAAAATTTCTGAATTTTATGACTATATTGTCTAGTGGACCTTAAATGGTAGAGTAGATAAGAAATACATTATTGAAAATGGAGATGCGGGGGCTTTCTTTCTCTGGATTCTGATCCAGTAGGTGCTGATAAAATGGAGAAATCAGTATTTGAAAAATCTCTCCACATTATACCTACACAGGTGATCAGACATTTACACCCAGGATTTAAAAAAAAAAAACCCCAAAAAAAAAAAAAAAAAAAAAGGTTTTCATGGAATATAGATGAGACATTTCTATCGTTTTGAAAAGAAATGATAAATGTATTTAATTCAAATGATTTCGTGTTTTGAAAAATTCATATCAGGTGGTCATCTGAAGGGCACCAGGGCGACTGTGAAGTTATAGTCCATTTAAATCCGATTAATTCAGACCTTCTTTCTACGGGCGTCGTGCTTGTAAGAAAAATTGCAGGTAACGCCTAGTCAAGTCTTGATATTTAAACATGCAAAAAAAAAATGAACTCATTTTTACTTCTGTCTTTCCTAGCGGACAAAATCCTGCTCTCTAGAAAAATGGAAGTTCTTTTATTATGACGCCATTTGTCACAACATTGTTTTGGAAATTTAAAAATTTAGAAACATCCTAAATCTGCATCATCAGGAACAGCCTAAGTAAATGGGGGTAGAAGCAGGACCTAACACAACACCGGCGATTTTCAACCGGGCGCCGCAAGGATGCTTGAAACACGCAACACCTGACTAGTCGGGGCGCTGGCCCCGTTCCCCTTAGATTGTCAAATAAAAAAAATGACAACAGCCAACACAACCATAGCCGTCCAGTGTGTGGACGAATTATAATGATGCCCATTTATTTTATTTTTTTGGTCAGGTCGGCAGAACATCTATTTTCTGGTGGGCCCCAGAATTAGTCATTAGTTTCTGCGCCAGGAGATGGGAAGGGCTGAAACCCGCTGAGCTGACCTGGGCCAGCAGCGCAGATGCCCGGCGGCCCTGTGTCGGCGAGAATAAACCTCCGGAAAACAGTGAGGGCAGAGGAAGCCAGTCACGGGGCATGAGCCCCTGGATGTACAAATTGGAAGGATGCACAACAAACTCAGTGTCTTGAGTGGGGCAGGAAGAGACGTGTTTCCAAGTGAAACGCACCCTCTGTGGGGAATGATCCCCCCGGGAAGGGGAGAAATGAAGGAACCGATGTCAGAAGGGACATACGTGCGAGATATTACTTCTAGAAAAATCCCAAGGTACATAGAAAATATGAGAAAACGGCAGGGTTTGCTTGAGCTCAGTGGGGGGGATATGGGGCTCTGTTAGGATTAATTCTCTCTGTTTTTCTGTATGTTTATAGAAAGAGGTTCCTATTTTCCACTGACTGTGTCTTGGACATGCTCTACCGTCGAGCTGATAGGGAGACACTGATTTTAACAGGTGACACGTGGACCGAACCAAGGAGAGGAGAGGAGAGGAGAGGAGAGGAGAGGAG